AACTTCTTCCACCTGAAGAAGGTTCCATCTTGAGTTTCTAGATTCTCCTCAGCAGCATGCATGACTTCATCAACACTTTGAAAATGGCGACCACTCAGGTGGGATGTCAGTTTGGGAAACAGATACAACACATTTGTCTGTTTCTGCCACCTGTACGGTGTCCTGGAGCAACAGCATCCAGCTCCAAGCTTTCCTCTCTTCTCTACTTTGATAGCTTCAAACATTTGAGCTTTTGTGGACAATGATATAAGACTTTATAGTGTACAGCTACGCCCCTCGCATCCAGGTGAGGCAGAGGACTTTGTAAAGCACAGTGTATGAAATGTGCTGCACAAATAAAGCTGCTTTTATCCTCATTCCAGGCAGATGTGAAGTGTGGACATGTCCAAGTAAATATATATAGTGTTTGTTTGTTTTACATCTGTAATTGTGTGTTTTTTTTTAAACGTATTGAAGTGATGGAGCTTGACATTCCAGTCTCCTAAGTGAACCAGTGACTCACGGTCAGGATGGTGAAATAAGGGTCATTATGTGGTGGGACACAGCCACCGAGTGTGTGTTGGTGTGTGTGTGTGTGTGTGTGTGTGTGTGTGTGTGTGTGTTGTAGAAAAAAACAGAAAGCAAGACTATGCTGCAGCTCTGTGTAGGAGAATGAGAGATGGCAAGTGACTCTCTTGCACCCTCTGTATGTGCGTTTGTGTGTGTGTGAGCGAATGTGACAAATTAAGGCAACGAGAGGGAGGACGGTTGTGAGTGTGTGTGCGCTGCGTGTGTGTGTGTGCGCTGTGTGTGTGTGTGTGTGTGGTGTCAAAGTGAAGAATGGACTCTCTGTGGTCGCACACAGTGGCCCTGTTCACACCAGGGTCAGCTGCCTGCACACACACACACTCAAACACACTCAAACACACTGATTCGTGGACGCGTCTCCAACCTAAACAAGACAACATTCTGTCAAACAATCCAATAAGAAAATTCCACAGCGATAGAGGCTGTCTGTCTGTCTGTCTGTCTGTCTCAGTATCAACATCATTTCTAACTTCCCATGTCAGTGTGTGTGTGTGTGTGTCAAAAAGTCAACATATAAGGTATTTTTTGTGAAGGGGAAGTTGACATTCCACTTAGCCAAACCATTTCCTGAGCGCTCTCGCACGCACTCGAATGATGTACTGATAAGATAAAAGTTTCAGATATGGCCGTCAAAACCTTGGAGACAAAGATAAGAGCATTGCTAATTTTAGTTGGCTCGTCAAAACTAATTTTGTTTCCTTTTTAGTTAAAGATTTTTATTCTACTTCATAGTTTATGCGTGAAAAATAAAAAGTAAACTAACAGATGTCACAGTCAAGACATTAAAAAAGACAAATGTCCAAGACGAACACTCAGTTTACACTAGGTTTACTTGTTCCAGTCTTATTGTAATAACTGTTATTTTAAAGGGTTGACATCAGACCCTAACATGTGAATCGTCGCTTTACTGCGTGTTTGAATGCTGGATTTTTCACTGCACTATAAAGTCCTGCATCTCTATGAAAACAGCACGACCATGACTAGAAGGAGATAGAACTCGTTGTCTGTAAATATGATTAAGTTGTCATGTCACAAATCATTAAAAAAAGGCAAAGACAATGATTTGTTTGATTATTTATAGTACACAAATTAAAAAATCTGAAAGCAATATTGACGATTTTTTTCCCCCCATGTATTATCCAGTACTGGTAAATATGGGGGCTCCACATAGTACAGATATTTTACCATTTTTACAACCTCTATGT